ACTATTCAATTCCAAATGTAAAAAATAATAAGCCTAGAACAGTTCACATAGGCAAAACAACCCCAGCCACACAATCTGCATGGAAGACACAACAGATGTTAAAAGTGATCTGACGCATCCCAGAGTGGCCATCTCCACTATCGAAGCAACTTGAGAAAGTATTGCCAAGGCCACGGGAATCACAGCAAACTCTTGCTGGCAGCATCAGGCCACGCATTGCCTCCTCCTCCACAAGAATACAGATGTGAAAATCCCCAAGGCAGCTCAGGCCACACTGCATGCAGGAACCATGGGCCCTCTTGGAGGAAGCTCCCAAGCTTTGAGCTTGGGACTGATGAGTATCTAAGAGATGCATCCAGATGACAAGCTTCTGGCAGGTGTGCCAAAGTAAGCAGGTTCACAATACAAATCTGACTCTTGCAACATTAGGAAGATACACATCATACAGTTACAAATAACAATACATGTGTACTGTTTTTGTTCATAACAAAGTAATTGACAATAACCGGAGAAAATGCAGCTACTCTGTTAAGAATGCATGCAAGCAATCTAATGCAAGCAGCAGCTGACAGGAATGCTGGTTTCACGGTATTTGGACACCCCCTCAGAACAAGTTCCAGTGCCCTGGAAAAAAAGCTGACTCAGATGAAGTATCTACAAAAGCCACACCTATACAGCGGTACCTCGGTTTAAGAACAGCCCTGTTTACAAACGATTCGGTTTATGAACTCCACAAAACCGGAAGTAGTGTCCCGGTTTGTAAACTTCACCTTGGTCTAAGAACGGAATCCGAACAATGGAAGGGCACCGGCGGTGGGAGGCCTCATTAGGGAAAGCGTGCCTCAGTTTAAGAACGGTTTCGGTTTAAGAACCGACTTCCAGAATGGATTAAGTTCGTAAACCGAGGTACCACAACAGCCCTGTAAGGTAAATTAGGCTGAGAAGAAGTGACTGGCCCAAAAATCATCCGGTGAGCTTCATGACTGAGCGGTGATTTGCACCCTGATCTCCAAGGTCCTAGTCTAATACTCTGACCACTACACCACACTGCATTTATTTAGAGCACTTATTAATTTACTATGTTCATTTATCTCTTCCCATTGTGGAACTCAAGGCAAAGTACAAGGGGGTTTCCCTGGCTGCGTCTCCTCCAGGCACTGACCAGATTCAGACCCGCTTAGCTTGCATTAAGAGATGACTGCATCATGTGTCTTCAGCCCATGTCCTGCAACCATAAACCATCTGATCAAAGCAAAACAAAGTTGCCCTTAGCCAGAGTGTGTTGGAAGGAGCGTAGACCCAGGGAGAGTGGGAAAGGAAACGGTTGTTTACACCAACCTTTGCTAACCTGGTACCCTCCATTTTGGACTACAACCCTCATCAGCCCAAGCCAGCATTTTATTTTATTTTTTGCCAACCTGGCGTACACCCACAAAGCAGAGCCGTGAGAAACAGCACTGCCCCTGATAAGACACCCTGCACAATGAAAACATCGCTTGCTTACCGCTTCAAAATGCTCTCTGTTGTTCCGCAGGAAGTGTATACAAGCCATCCTAATGTCCAGATGTTGAGCCTGGGAATGGAAAACCTAGAGGAGTCAGATAAAAACAACAGCGACGAAGTGTTTAATGAACTGGTACCAATGAACAGACACATTACTGAGTTTCAAACTTGCATAGGCTCATGCACTCAAATGTAAGGAGTCAAAAAGCTGCTGCCTTAGTAGCAAAGGCAAAATAAAAGACAAATATACAGCAAAAACTGAGGCCTGATCTGCACATGTGGAGTCTGAAGTGGAAGAGTAGACTGCCCAAATTTTAATTGGGGCAAGTATGGCACTCTGTGAAAAGTGTGTCCATGCTTTTCCTTAGTTATGTGGGTTTTATTTCTCAAGTTTAGGGAGAGACTGAAAATGGTATTTCCCACATGAACACACCCCTGCAGTCTGAAAGACATAAGAGATGTAGCTATAATACCTTGCTGCTCCATCTCACTTTGACAACTATGACTGTCCCAGCGTCCTACCAGTTCCCTCAGTTGGAACGGGCAAAGAAGGGCACAAAAAGAGAGCCTCACCACCCTCAATCAAGTCCAGCTGAGCAATAGCTTCTCCCAGATCACAGCTTTAAGAGTGGAGAGAAGAGTTCAGAAAAAATATTTTAAGAATGTTATGTGACGTTGCTCAATTCAATCTTTTTACATGGTTTTGTATTGTGGTATATAGCTGAACCCCCCCCCCCGCCCCCATCTTCAAAAAGCATTAGTAAATGTAAAGGACCCCTGGCCGTTAAGTCCAGTCGCGAACGACTCTGGGGTTGCGGCGCTCATCTCGCTTTACTGGCCGAGGGTGCTGACGTTTGTCCACAGACAGTTTTTCTGGGTCATGTGGCCAGCATGACTAAGCCGCTTCTGGCGAAACCAGAGCAGTGCACGGAAACGCCATTTACCTTCCCATCGGAGTATTTATCTACTTGCACTTTGACGTGCTTTTGAACTGCTGGGCTGGCAGGAGCTGGGACCAAACAACGGGATTTGAACTGCCAACCTTCCGACCGGCAAGCCCAAGGCTCAGTGGTTTACACCACAGTGCCACCCGCGTCCAGTGAAAAGCATTAAAAATGCTCAATTAACTGAGGTTCTGCTTCCCCCAGCAGAAGCCTGCCCCCCACCTATAATGTTCCCTTTTTGAGGGGGGGGATTTTTACCCATGATCTCAAAAAAAGCTCTAACTTTTTTTGGGGGGCCCCCCAAAAGTGAGTCAATAGGCAGGAGGGATGGTCCATGACAGAAACCAAGCAGCCTGCTAGAGGAGAAAAAAACCCTCCTTGGTGCCCAATACAGAAATACAACTCCCTTCCCTCTGCCAGCCTTCTTTGTGGGCTTATTTTACAAGGCTATTTAGTGCTTCAGAGGCTTCAAATCACTGCACACATATTATGCTGTCCTTACAACAATCCTGCGAAGTAGTTCAGTTCTGTCCTTCTTCCCATACTGGGGAGGGGAAGAAAGACAGAGACACTCACCTGATTCCTAATTAATTCACAACATCTGGGGACCCACAGGTGCAGAAAGGCTGCTCAGGAGTTCTTAATTCACTCAGCTGCTCCCTGACAACCCTGATAAGCCAACCCAGCAGGCTTGCGGCACCTTAAAAGGACTAATGAAATTGTTACGGCATAAAACATCTGCTGAAATGGACTTCACAAAAGCTTAGGCTATAAATTGCATTGCCAGCCTTTTCAAGGTACCACAAGACTTTTTGTTGCAACAATCTAACTCGGAAATTATGGTGTTTTTTAAAAAAAAAACGTGTTCTCAGAAGTGATTCAGTTATAAGCATCAGGAATCAATCTGACAATACAGCCCAACCCTGTGCGCCCCCCCCCCCTCCGTCGCCCCACAACTGCCCCTAGAAGTGGAAATATTACTAAGCACAAGCTAAGTCCCCTACATTCAGCTTTGGGAAGGTGCAGAGTCATTATAGCGACAGGAAGCTGACCTAATTTCAAAGCAGCCCTGGGGGTGTTTTGCACTCTGCAAGCCAGACAGCATTGCACCCATTTCCCCCAGGCCGAATGCCATATTCCAGTCTGGACATAAATGATCCACGAGTCGGCTGAGCCGCAACAGAAATAAAGCAGAGCGCAAGGCGTTTTGCGTTTTCAGGCTACGCACTTAAGGAGGCCGAAGTTTAACTTTTTTTCCCCTTTCACCATCGTATATAAATAATGTACAAGCATCCCATCAAGCATATGCAAAAGGAAGGATAAATATCGTGTCTCCTTTCGTTTACCGGCAGATTTTAAATAGCAGTCTACAAAATTGGGAGTTCGGAACATAATAAACATAGGAGGTGCAACCGAAACAACTTGTCGGAAGGTGACCAAAGAGCTGGGGAGGAAAGAAAATCGTTTCTCTCGAAACTAAAAAAAGGCAACTAGCAAATCTCTCTCTCAACAGTGCAACAAGTTCGCGGAGGGCGCTCAACTCCGCTTTCCACACATAGATTCTTTTTCCCGGACGGGTTGCTTTCCTTGGGCGGCTGCGCCCCTAACCGCTCGCGTTTGGCCCTGGAGACCGCGCAGCCCAGATCCGCTAAAAACTTCCACCAACTCGTTTCCCCCGGCTTTCTCCGCCGCCTGAAGCCAGAGACAGCCGAGGCGCGCCGGCAGGTCAAAGTCCTCCTTCCCAGGGGATTCTAGCTGGACCTTGGAGAGGAGGGAGAGAGACCCTCTCCCGAACAAAGCCGCCTCTCACGACCCTCGCGCCCTCCGCTTGCAAAGGGAGACCTTGCGCACTCACCTGCTCCGCCACGGCTCGGAAGAGGCATGACCCGTCCTTCGCCACTCGCTTGCGGTACAACCCCTGAGATCGCAGGCAGGCGTCCATGGAGGAATCCGGCGGGGCCTCCGCGCCCGAGCCCGGGGGGCTCTGCTCCTCGCCACCTGGCTTCTCTTCTGCAGCAGCCGTAGCCTCCATGTTTATTTATTGCTCCGGGGGTTGCAGGGAAATCGCGGCTTCAGCCCCACATGCTGCAGGAGAAAGCGGGAGAGATGCACCTCAAGCCCCTCGCTCCAAGGGCGGCTGGCGGCGCAGCGGGAACCGGACTCCCGTTCGCAGGTCTCCTGCGAGGCGCCCCGCATGCACCGGGCGGCGGCAGCGTCTGCCGCTTCTTGCTCGGCCTTCCCGCCGGAGTTTCCTTGGCTTCAAGCCCGGCGCGGAGAACTTGCGCGCTCCTCCTGCTGCCCCGCTTGGGAAGGCGGCTCTCGCCCGCTCCCTTTACGCATCACTGGGCTCCCGGAGCGGAAACAAAAGAGAAACGAAACATGTGGCGCTTTCCTTCCCTGAAACGGGCAGCCCTGAAGTTTGTTTTCACTTTCAGAGCCAGACCGACACCCAAAGGGCTTCTGGGAGTTGTGGTTCGGCCGCTGCAGGAAGCGGCCGCGGCGGGGAGGGAGGGAGGGAGCCGGGAGGCAAAGGGGCTTGCAGGGAAGCGCGGACTCCTCTTATAGGAGAGCGGAGGAGCAAAGCAGCTGCTCTTTCCCGCGGAGGAATCCTTGGCCACAGCGCGATAGCTGTGATATTGGTGGCCAAGCTTCCGGCTTAGGGGGCGATGAGGGTTCTGGAAACTTTAGAATCCACAGCTGGGCAACACCACCTTCATTAAGACCAAACAAAACTCCGCAAAGCAAGCTTTCAAGCTCTCCAGAAGTCTTTCTGAAGCTAAATGTTACAAAGTACCCCCCCAAAAAAAAAGTCCAAAAGTTAGGCTGGGTGTTTAAGCCATGAGACCTGCATTTTTAGACCCAGTTCGAGGGTGGAGATTGCAAACATTCAGTGGGCTGTGCACACACGTCATACCATAAAAGCACATTCGTTCCATCAGATAACTGGGCACTGTAGTTAAGAGTTGCTGGGAGTTGTATCCCTCCTTCTTTTCTGCAAATGAGCTTTGGATGTGAAGTGACAGAGAAGAGGGAGTTTAAGCATGTGCAGAGTGTCTTTCCTTCTCTCTAATCAGTGACTGAAGAGTAACCTTTGTGGATACAATGACTGCATTTTTCTTTACTTCTCTGCCTCACAAGCAAGCCAGTACAGTATGCTCCAATAAGCTGGGTCTTAAAATGGCACTCCCCACACCGGTTATCTGTGTGGAATGTTTGCTGAATTGCAAATGACACCCCTCCCATAGCACCAAGCGCCCTGGGTGATCTTAAGCCAAGCACAGTATCTCTCAGCCTCAATTCCCTCTCAGAGTTGTTGTGACGATAAAATGGGTGTATCATGCCCAGGTGGTGTAGACAGAATGTAGTGGGATGTACACAGAAAAGGGACAACGCTCCCACCAGTGTGGAAAGTCAATTGCAATTCTGCTTGTCACTTGCAATGGAAGAACGATGATTGGGTAGACTAGGAGCTACCTTGTCCAGAAGCAGCCAGGCTTAATATGCTCCTTTTTCAGCCATAGACACAAAAGCAACATCCATTCAATTAAAATCCAAATGCAATAACAACCACAACCAACATAAAACTCAAATATCCACAACGTGCTATCAATTTACATATCACAAGGATACAATATTTAAGGAGAATATTGTTCTCTTTTCAAAAGTGAGCACACATTGCTTGTTTGCCCCATATTGGTTATTTGGAACATCCTGAGAGAATGGAGCAAGCTCAAGAAAGAGCTGCTGGTGGCACTTTAGAGAGTCCCTAATTTTGCAGGAGCTTGTGAGATCTTACCAGCTGGTATCAAAAACAACACAGGCTTTTGTGGTTCCTTTAAATGTTAACAAATTATTGTTTTTATCATGAATAATAATTTATTATCATTCATGGATTATGGTCCACTTAATCAATGCGGCTAAACGGAAGCTGCTGAACCATTAGACTTGGACTGGAGATTGGGAGCAGCTCTGCCTGACTGCGGAAAGTAATTAGGTGTGCATAAACACTATTCATCTTGTTTTGCCCATTCATTCCTTACATGGCTGGCAGTAGATCACACAGACGCTTGATTGTATATTTTACTCCCTTCTGTAGACCTTGTTTGCATTAAATTTTGCATAGTGATGGCTTTTGCATTGATGTGTCTTCTGCCCTCACTTAGTAACAGTTAATACACACGATTATTCTTTCTGTTGTGTGTGTGTTTGTAATTTGCCAAGTTACAGTACTTTGTGTATCTAATTAAACAGGTTTTGATCCACAGAAGCTTATAACACAGTAAGTTTGTATGCCTTCCAAGGTGTTGTTGTTTTTCTTCCACACGCTGGCTGGGGGCTGGTGGGAATTATAGTCCAAAAGCAACCATAAGGCACCAGGGACTCAGCTATACAGCTGCAAATAAAATGTTTTAAGTGTATTGTAAAGTGCATTATAAAAATATGGTACTAGATGGTGATGGCAAGCTATGGCGAATTCAATATATTTTTCAAAACATTTTTTCAAAAAAGCATTTTCACAACTTTTTAATGTGTCTAGATTCCACCTAGGTTAGCGAAGAATGAGCTAGATAATAATGTGCTGTCTTTGGGTGTGATGAAGCCTTTTACTGGGACCAAAAACTCTTCCAAGATACTGAAAACAAGATACTGAACTATGGGGAGGTGGGGGGAATCATGTTACACACCCAGACTGTTGCTTTATCTGATGAAAACGGCTGTCAAGGGACAAGAAGTTACAGTACAGGCTATTTTAATTTGATAAGGAGCAGCTAGGCTTTGCCCAATGTTCTTGGATTCTTACCCATTTCAATGAACAATGAAAAGTCTGCAGCAAACAGAAAAAAAGATAATATTCACAATACTTGCATTGCAATTAAGCGAAATGCTTTTTAAACAAATCTTGTATGAGGATTTTCTCTTTCCTTTTCAGCGTTTGGTCTCCAGTCAGGAGGAGCTGCAGCCATTCTTTCTGAGGTATCTGGCTCAGGGAAACATATTCCCCTAGTAGGCAAGTAGGAAGAGAAGATTAAGGTTCCTTTTGCTCCCCTTCAGCAGTTGAAGAACACATGACTAAGACTTGTTGAACAGTTACAGGTAGGTAGCCATGTTGGTCTGTTGTTGGTATGAAAGCTCATACCAATAACAAACTTAGTCTCTAAGGTGCTACTGGAAGGAATTTTTTTATTTTGTTTCCACTTGTTGAACAGAAGGTGTGTTATGTTCATTTGCCTAGGATAGGACCAGGATAAGGGGAAGGTCCATAGGCTCACAGGTAGAGCACCTGCTTTGAAAGCAGTAAGCTCAAGGCCAATGCTCAGCATTGCCAAGTAAGACTGGGAGAGACATAGGGAGCTGCCTTATATCGAGTGAATCCAATGGCCCATCTAGCTCAGTACAGTGGTACCTCGGGTTAAGTACTTAATTCGTTCCGGAGGTCCATTCTTAACCTGAAACTGTTCTTAACCTGAAGCACCACTTTAGCTAATGGGGCCTCCTGCTGCCGCCGTGCCGCCAGAGCACGATTTCTGTTCTCATCCTGAAGCAAAGTTCTTAACCTGAGGTACTATTTCTGGGTTAGTGGAGTCTGTAACCTGAAGTGTATGTAACCCGAGGTACCACTGTATTGTCTACATTGAATGGCAGTAGCTTCAGGGTTTCAGACGAAGGTTCTCTCTCAGACCTACCTAGAGGTGCCAGGGATTAAACCTGAGATTTTCTGCAAGCAAAGCAGATACTGTACAGCTAAGCTGAAACCCTGAAGGGCCCTTGACAGTCACTGGAGAAAATACTCTGTTAGATGGATCAATAGTCTGACACAGTATCCAGCAGTGTTAGGATGGTCAGCATCACAACATCCGGGCAGCCCACTGTATACAATCCATACCTCCTAGCAACCAGGTAACGACACTTTATTCCCCTGATGGAGTGGACTGTAGTCCATGAGAGCTTGGACTCTGTTGCTATCGCTGCAAGAAGCTTAACACAGCCGCCTCTCTGGAAATAGTTTCTATAGCATGTGATAGCCTCCAGATGGCACTAAATCCTTAGACATGTTAGCAAAACATCCAGGGCTGAAATACTGTAGGCATCCTACACAAGACAACAGCCCCAAAATATTACAATTTAGACTGTAGGCTCCTCAAGACAGAATCAGAGAATCTTAGAGTTGGAAGGGACCATGAGAGTCATCTAGTCCAACCTTTCGATGCAAGAATCTTTTTTTGCCCGTGGTTTCGAACCCACAGCCCTAAGATAAAGAATCTCATGCTCTAGAATTCTGTGTTTTGTTTAGATTTTTCTGTAAAACACCAGGTATACTGATCTGACTGTATAAATATGCAACAACAGTTATGTTCCGATGAGAGTGTGCTTTCCATTTCCCCCGTTTATTCGTATATAATTTTAAACATTTTTTCACAAAGATCTTTTTAAAAAGATGGGCCCATTGCTTGTCCTAGGAGTATTGAAATTAATGGACGTAGCTAACTTAGCTCTATTAATTTCAAGGGGTCTACTCTGAGTGTGGTTTAGATGGATACAACACACAATTTATTACATGGGCAGTAACAAATTTAAAATAATTAGAGCCCGTACATAAAATCCTTTGGAAACCAAATTGCACAGCACAGACAATAGGATCAGTTTCACAGGTGAGGCTCATCATCTATTAGCAGCATGAGGGTGGAGATCATGTGCCAGAAGGTAAAGTTGATTTTTTCTAATTTAGTGAGATCTTGTGCCTAGATCTAATTTTACTTTCTCAGTGCTGGAAAGTATGTTAATTAGAAACTTTAGGATATAAGTTGTGGGGCTTCTTGTAATTTGTCAGATAGCCAGTATGGCACATGTATAATATATTCAAGAAACCATAAGGCACTAGAGCACTCAAAACAGCCTATCTGACAGCAGGGCTTAAGCACCTTATTCTTTCCTCCACCAGGTCAGCTTGGGGGTTAAAAGAAGTGGCGGGCTCAGCTCTACAGCGCCCCTTTCATCATGGCAGGAAAGGGGACTGCAGCCCAGCTGAATCAAATGGCTTGGATAACCAACGAGATTATATAATGCATCTGAATCTTACTCTGAGCAGGTTGTTGCTGGGAGCAGTAGTACAACTCTTGGAAGTTCACTGCCTGCCTCTGATGTTTTGTCTACCCATTCCAAAATCTACCTGCCTGCCTTGGCCCACATCTGTTTGGGCCCCTTGGATCCATAGTTATTCTCATGGACTTGACCCAAACTTAGTTAAGTTGTTTGGCTTCTACCACACTGGGTCCTGACAGGTTTGAGCAGCTGGCGGGGGGCGGGGGGAGTTGGGGGTAATGTATATAGCTTGCAGAATGGTGTCTAAGAAGCAAAGGAGCTGTACACTTAAATAAGCATTAGATGGCAGTATGCTAAGTAGCGTGAGAATGAACAGGTTAATTGCTAATCTTATGGCTCATTCTTGTTTTATCAGTAGCTCAGTGTAATCATGAGCTTCTTCCTTGGCTAAGACCTTGGTAAGGTCAGTTTGCGATTTTGGATTGTTTCAAGACTGTACAGATTACAAGACTTCCCTTCAACCTCACAAAATATTTCTTCAAAAGGTCCATGAGATTCCAGAAATAGGGCCCTATGAAAAATTATGTGAAATGTTGACAGTGCTAGTTTCTTTGAACTTAAAAACTATATACTCTTATTATTTACCAAGCAATCAAGCTGACCACCTAGGCAGGTGCTGATCTCTTAACCAAAGGAATAGTGTTAGGCTTTTATTTCGGCAGTCAAATCTAAACTTAGTAAGAAGGCATAAGTGTGGCATTTGCTTATTTGTCTGGCATTTTGCTCCCATCCCCCGAATGGCACATGATAGCTATTCTGCTTTTTCTGCCCTAAACCATTGTAGAAGTCCCTTGCCTCCTAGTTCCTAGTGCCAGTTTACGAACTGGAGAACAGAATGGTGTCTGAATGAGATGGCCAGTGTATTGCTGCTCTTAACAGACAAGCCTGTGTATGTTTCCCCAGAGGTAAACCCAACTGAGTTTAGTGGGGCTTTCTTCCAGATAAGTGTGTATAGCAGGGATAGGGAACCTGTGGCCAGACTACAACTCCCATCATCCCTGTCTATTGGCCATGTTGCCTGAAGCTATTGGGAGTTGGAGTCCAACAACAGGTGAAAGGTTACAGGTTCCACATTCCTGGTGTTTAGGATTGCAATCTGTAATCCATCCTATGCTACGAAGTGTGTACACTTACCTGCTAGCAAACCCCACTGAACTCTGTTGGGCTTATTTCTGAGCAAACATGCATGGGCTTGCGCTGCCAGGGTTTTGCCACTTCCTGTTGGCTCTGCTACTGCACTGCCTTTCATCAACTGTTCATCTGGCCAGTTAATATTCCTAGCTTTTGGATATATAATTAAAGCACATGCAAAGGGTGCTTGGGGAAAAAATCTCTAAGTTATGATAAATTTGCCTTCCCGCAGACTATTTTCATTGTTCTGACATCATATAGTCTACTCGTCTACTAACAGAGAGGGTGTCTTTCTTCAACTTTGGTCTAAATATTTTTGAACATCAGGAGCCCATTGACTTTGAAATACAGTGTTTGGGGAATCTGTGGCCCTCCAGTTATTGTTGGACTCCAATTCCTATCAGTCTTGGCCAGCAAGGGCAATAGTCAGGGATGCTACGATTAGTAGTGCATCTGGAAAGCCACAGCTTCCCCACCCCTGATGAAATAATGGTTAGTTCCCTGAAATATCAGAGCAGCCCAGAGCAAAACACTCACTGCAAGACGGCTTTTTCTCTGTGCACCATACTCTAAACTTACTAGGGTCAGAGTGGAGACAGTTAATATTGGTTTATGTGCAAACCTTTCTCTGGATTGTGCCTATCCTATGGAAATTAAACTGAGATTTAATTCCTGTATTTCATTTAGATTAGGGGAGCCCTTATCCCAGAGCTTTCAAAACTGTGTGTCGCGACACGTCAATGTGTCAACTACAGTGTGTCGTGTGTGTCACACAAACGTTCCCTGCGCTCCTCCCAAAGCTGGAAAGGGGTTAGTTTAACCTCCGATTTGCTAGTAAAGGTGAATTACTGTGTCACGAAACAATGCATGTCTAAAAAGTGTGTCACTAACATGACAAGTTTGGAAAGCTCTGCCAAATAAATTACCAAATAAAAAAGTTAGAATGGTTTCTGTCTTGGTACTATTAGACAAAGAATTATTTGAAGATTATTATTTGGAGGAGGGGGATGAATAGTTAAGGACACTGAGTTTTAAAGACTTTGAATGTTTAATAACAACAAAAAAGTCACTCTTATTACGGCACAAGTTTTTGTGGACTTAAGTGCACAATGCAATATCTCTACTAGAAACAAAATTATTTCCTATGTCCAGGGTAGGTTTCACAGGACTTTATTGAAGAAAGAAAGTCATGTCATCAATAAATGTTTGCTTCATTACTTATTTTTTATTGGACAGCCAGGGAGATCTGCATATGGAAGCAGGCCTCCATGACTTTTATCTGCATAGTGATGTTAATTCAGGCACCATTAAACTAGATGGAGGTTTGTTCTTTCTTTCTTTTTTAATGCAGATCACAAGATAATTCCGTTGGGGGAAGGGACACTAGTTTGATATAGTGACTAATAGTGAACAGCTCCAGCCGCATCAGATCACTTGTGGCCTAGTGGCAACACAGCACTGTCCTCATCTTGAACATAGCAGATAAATGGTGCAAATCTTCCAAAAGCCATCAAAGAGGATAGCTTTCAGCAACCTACTATCTTCATAGTTCAGCGTCTTCCATCTATAAAAAAGAATAGTTATGTCTCTTTTTTTTTTTTTTAAAGAAATTTTATTGATATTCCCATATATATACATTATATCCGTGTTTCGTACATCTCATACTTTTGGACTTCCTTCAGCGTCCTTGACATTCATTCGTATTTGTTTCTTTGTAACGCATTCCAATCTTTCATATTGCCATTAATACCACCCTTCATACCTTGTTTCCAATAAGCAATACTTATTAGTGCTTTACAGTGCCTCTTTAAAACCTACTAGCGTTGTATTTACTAAACATTTGTTCTCCAGATAGTCCGCAAATTTTCCCCAGTCATCTATAAATTTTTGATCCTTAATATATCTAATTTTCCCTGTTAATTTGTCTAACTCCGCATATTCCGTCAGTTTTAATCTCCACTCTGCTATCGTTGGGCCTTCTTCCTGCTTCCACTTCTGCGCCACCACAATTCTGGCTGCTGTTACCGCATACTGGAAGATTTTACAATCCTTTCTTTTGATATCTTTTCCCACCATGCCTAATAAAAAAGCTTCGGGCTTCTTTACGAAGGTATAGCTTAATATCTTTTTGATTTCATTATAAACTTCATCCCAGAAGCTTTTAACCTTCCCGCATTCCCACCATAAGTGATAGAACGTCCCTTCTTTCTGTCTGCATTTCCAACATTTGTTGTCTGTTTTATACATCTTAGCTAGTTTTACGGGTGTTATATACCATCTATATAACATTTTAAACATATTTTCCCTTAGTAACACACATGCTGTAAATTTTATATTCACTCTCCACAATTTTTCCCAATTCTCTAATTGAATGTCATAGCCGAGGTCCTTTGCCCACTGAGTCATCACCGTTTTAACTTTCTCATCTTTCATGTTCCATTCTAACAATATTTTGTACATATTTGACAGATTTTTCCGATCATTATTTATTATCTCTCTCTGAAATTTCGATGCCTTTTCTTCATAGCCCCTCTCTTTCACCTCTTTTTTAAATATTTCATTTATCTGAAAGTAGCTTAGCCAATCGTATGTATATATTTTTACCTGATCGTATGATTTTACTTTCCACTTCCCTCCTTCCTTCAATACCATTTCTTCATACCTGCCCCATTTTTTTCCCATATTAACTTTCTTTACACTTATCAGCTCCACTGGGGATAACCAGTGTGGGGTTTTTGGTTCTAGTATGTTCTTGTATCTATTCCAAACTTCTATCAAAGGTCCCTTAAAGATATGGCTGCAAAATCCCTTATGCACTCTTATCTTATCCCTCCACAAGTACGCATGCCACCCAAATTTATTCTTATACCCTTCCAGATCTAATAGCTCTGTATCCTCCAACTTTATCCACTCTTTTATCCAACAAAGGCATGCGGCCTCGTAGTACAGTCTCATGTCTGGTAGGGCGAAGCCCCCTCTTTCAGTAATATCTGTTAATACCTTAAACTTAATTCTGGGCTTCTTTCCTTCCCAGACATATCTAGAAATCGCCCTTTGCCATTCTTTAAAATTTTTTGTGCCTTTTATTATGGGGATCGTTTGAAATAGAAATAACATTTTGGGGAGCACCATCATTTTGACCATGGATATTCTTCCCCAGAATGATAATTTCATCCTAGCCCAAACCTCCAAATTTTTCTTGATTCCGTTCCACACCGGGATGTAATTATTTTGGTATAAATCAATATTTTTGTTGGTGAGCCAAAGTCCTAAATATTTTACCTTTTTAACTACTTCAATTTCTGTTTGTTGCTGTAATAATTCTATCTTGTCTTGATCCAGGTTTTTAACGATCATTTTTGTCTTACTCTTATTCAGTTTGAATCCTGCTAACTTCCCAAATTCCTCCATCTCCTCCAGAATTCCCTTTATACTATCTATAGGATCTTCCACCGTTAAGACCACGTCATCAGCATATGCTTTGACTTTATATTCGTTTGAGCCTAATGATATTCCCTTAATTTGTTTATTTTGCCTTATTGCATTTAATAGGACCTCCAAAACAACTATGAAGAGCAGCGGCGAAAGCGGACATCCCTGCCTTGTCCCTTTAGATATTTTTATATCTTCTGTTATAACGTTATTTATTATCAGCTTCGCCTTCTGTTCTGTATAAATTGCCTTTATACTATTCCAGAATTCTTGACCCACTTCCATGGTTTCCAAATTTCTCAACATGAAATCCCAGGCCACATTATCGAAGGCTTTCTCCGCATCTACAAAGATTAGGCTAGCTGGTTTATCATATCTGTCCGATAAATATTCTATTATATTAATTATACTTCTTGTGTTGTTTTTTATTTGCCTTCCCGGTAGGAAGCCCACTTGGTCCTCATGAATTATCTTTACTAATATCTTTTTAAACCTTTTGCTAGGATTCCGGCGAAGATCTTATAGTCTGTATTTAATAAAGAAATGGGTCTATAATTTTTTACTTGAGTTGGGTCTGCATCTTGTTTTGGAATTATTGTGA